GGCCACGTCAGCCAATCAGCTCAAGCCCTACCTAGGAAACACCTGTTGATTCCCCTCCCCCCACCCCGCCACACACACACCCCAGGGCTTACCTGGGTGCAGGTTACTCAGGTGAAGCACCTCCCCGGAAACGGAGCTGGAGCACCTACCTGTCCGGCTAGGATCGGATCCAGCACTTCCAGGCTTGTGAGTGCCCCATATCCCCTCTACGTCCACCGTCCCCAACTTCTCTCTCTGTCCCATCCCTGAGAACCTCCACCTCACCTCAGCCTGACCCAACTGTCCCAGCACACCTGTGCAAGCACTTTCAGCCCAGTGAAGTCACCGCTCTAGGGAATATGGGACTGACTCCAGGGCCCCTCCCCGCCCCACCCCCTACTACTTCTCTTGGGAGCACCTGCACCTGCCTGTCCCACCAGGTTGCCTGGCAGCCCCTGCTGAGGGGTTGTGGAGGACAGACACCTCTTCAGGGATGTAACCCATGTATAGCCATGTATTCACATTCCTGGAATGATCCAGGACTTGTGTCCCGTGTATAAAGAAGGAATCCTATCCCAAACTGGAGGGGAGAATGTTGTGTTCTTTTATTCAAAAAGCATGCTTAGGCATCTATGCAGGCCCCAGAATTCCCATTGGAATTCTGAAATGGAGATATCAAATGACTCATCCCCACTCCTCAAGATAAACATTATTGTCTTCAGTTTTCAAATAAGGAGCCTGGGGCTCTAAGAAGTGAACTCATAGGGGCTTCCCTCACCCTCCCACAGGCCCCGCTTCTGACTAACCCGCAGCCAGCATTTATCACACCAACACACCTGCTGTACCTGGGGCTCCTTGGAGACAGGAACCCCAGCTGCTGACTGGCCTCCCAGACAAGTTAAATGAGTAACCACTGTGAGGTCCCTCACCCAAGTCCCCACAGGTGGTAAAGACTGCAGCTGGGGCTCAAATCCAGAGCCCCCCTTTCCCTTTGCACCACTTTAGAAGAATCTTGCAGGAGAATTGCATTGGGAGGTGGTGAGAGGGGGAAGAGTGGGGGACAGGAAGACCCGTGAGGAGGTGGGGGCGGGAAGCAGAGCTGGAAGCAGTGGAGATGAGGGCAGGGGACAGGGTGGAGAAATGTGTAGAGGTGGCCTCTCCTGAATGTGCATAGGTGAGGAGTACAAAAGGAGGAGCAGGTCTGGGGTAAGATGACGAACTTGGGTTGGACGTGTTGTGTCAGCGGTGACTATGGGACATCAAGGTGACTATTGGCTTATGAATCTAGAGCTCAGGAGGAAGATCCTGGTTTGAGAGAGGGAGAGGGATTTGGGAACCAGCAGCCATGGCTGTGAGATTTGATGGGATGTTTGAGGAAGGAGGGTGTTAGGGGTCAGACCCTAACCCACAAAGAGGCCACAGCCATAAGAGAGAAGAACTGGTGTCAGGCTGCTGGTTCCAGAAGGGTTAAGTTGTAGCCCCCTCCCGCCCCACAACCCTCCCCCTTAGGAGTCAGCAGTGACAGCTGAAGCCATGTGAGTTGGATCTTGAATGAGGCTTTATCTCTGGCTCTTCGTCATCGTCCACCGTGGCACCAGTTCCCCCGGCCAGCTGGGATGAGACAGGCAACTGAGAGAGCCAGAGAGGTCAGGGGCTGGGCAAGTGGGCTTCCCTGGAGCGGTGGTGGTGCTTTCTGTGAGGGAGCTCTCCTAGGGTCATTGGAGAGGCATTCCCAAGGGCAGTGCTGGGGAAAGGGCTTTCCTGGGGGGAGGAGGGGCGGTTCCAGGGGCATGGGAGGATTCCAGGGGTCATCCTATAGCCCTCAGGAGAGACCATGGGGTCAGGTGGGCTGGGGAGGTAACAGCTGTGATTCTCCTCCGCAGATGTTGGTGACCTTACCCTGGACTGTGAGAGGAATAGGACTCTGGACCTCCAGCTGCCAAGCAGGTGGTGGGGGCTCCAGGCCATGACCCACACCCTCTAACCCCAGGTACTGCCTGTTGACCCGACGCATGCCAGATCCAGCCATGTCTGCAAGAGAAGCTCGAATCCCACCCGGCTGGGGGCCGCCCCCAGACATGCTGGTGGAACAGGTGGAATTGTGGTGGTCCCAGCAGCCTCGGCGCTCAGCACTCTGCTTTGCCGTGGCTGTGGGCCTTGTGGCAGGATGTGGGGCAGGTGGTGTGGTACTGCTCGCCTCCACCAGCAGCCGCTCAGGAGAGTGGCGACTGGCGGTGGGCACCGTGCTCTGCCTGCTGGCCCTGCTGGTTCTGGTTAAGCAGCTAATGAGCTCGGCTATGCAGGACATGAACTGCATACGCCAGCCTCACCACGTGGCCCTGCTGCGCAGTGGTGGCGGTGCCGACGCCCTCGTGGTACTGCTCAGTGGCCTGGTGCTGCTGGTCACTGGCCTGACACTGGCTGGGCTGGCCGCTGCCCCTGCCCCTGCCCGGCCACTGGCCGTCATGCTGTCTGTAGGCATTGCCCTGGCTGCCTCCGGCTCGCTCTTGCTGCTGGGCTTGCTGCTATATCAAGTGGGCGTGAGTGGACACTGCCCCACCATCCGCACAGCCGCCCCCTCCACCCACAGAGACAATGTCAGCATCTTCAGCATTTCAGGACAGTTGTCTGCTGGCCAGCGTCATGAGACCACATCCAGCATCGCCAGCCTCATCTGACCAAGCCGGACCCCTTCCCACAGCCTGCCTCATCCTCCACAGAACTCTGCCAGGGCGTGAGTGAGTGTGTATACGAGTGTGTGTGTGCACATGCAAAGGGGATGGTGAGTGTATACAATATGTATATGTCCCCAGGACTGTCCAGTCTTTCTGTGGGGTTGTGCGATGTGTGATGGGAGCCTAAGTGTACCCACACATCCACACCGTGGGGAGAAGAGTGTGCATATTCTTGGAACTGGGTGTTAAGTCCATGGAACTGTCAGAGTCTGTATCTAGGGTCTGTGCAGAGAAGTGTGTTAGATCCCTGGAGATTCTCGTCCCCTATTCTCACTGCCCTTCAAAGCCAATCCGGCCCTCTACCACCCGTCAGAGAGTTCCCCAGAAGTGACTGTTGCCCACCCCAGAGACTGCACCAGCAAGTCTTCACTGAGGAGAGTAACTGGTGGCACAATGGAGAGAACACAGGCTCCAGAGTATGACAGGCCTGCACTGGAATCCGCCTCTACCACTTACCAGCTGGGGAAACTTTGGCAAGTGACTTAGCCTCTCTGAGCCTCAGTTTCTGGAGAGTCATGGTCATGGTCATGATAATCAATCGTGAGGATCAAATGACGTCATGTATGGAAGGACTGGGCACGTAAGAGATGTGCGATAAAAGTGGTGGCTGCTATTATCGTTATTGTCCTCACGTTCCCATCTCACCTAGACACCCTTCCCCTTCCTCACATCCACCCCTTCCAAAGTGAATACTTTGTGCCTATCTCAGGATGACAGAAGTTGCTTTAAAGGTGTCCTCAGGCCTGTGGTTTGTCCTCTTGGGTACTATGAAGCTGGAGGGGACTTGGGAGGAGGGGTGCTCAGCTTCCGGAAGGTTGTGGGTTTCTGTTCCCAGGGAGAGAAGTGGGGGCTGAGTCCTTGGCATTTGCTCATGTGCCGGTTCAAGATGAAAGCTTAAGTATTGGGGTTTTCTCAGCTGGTTTCCTCAGAGGCTGCAGCACCCTACCCCTCCTCTGAAACTAGAACATCCTGGTCTGTGTAATCTCTGCACTGGCTGGACTGCCTCTGGGTTCCTGGGCATGGGAGGGGTATTTGAAACCCCCTTGGGCAGTAAGAGTCACTTCCTGCTTGGGGTTCACCCTAGAAGGGATCTCTCCTTCTATGGGGCGGGGACACTTCCTGGGTGGCAAGGACAAAGTTCCACTGGAAGAGCACTCAAGAGTGTCAGTTATCGTTTCATCACTTCCTGCCTCACAAGGTGCAGATTATGTGAAGCCCCTGAGGACAGAGAGGCAGAGAAGCCAGAGCGTCTCCTAAGAGATGTTGAAAGTAGAGTTACAGAGGCCCCAACAAGAGAACATTGCTTTCAGTTGCCAAGATCAGGGCAATTTCCTGGAGAAAACTCTGAGCTGATGGATGTGGGGCAGGGCGTTGCCGACCCAGGGAGGGAACCACGGGAGCAGAAGGAATAGGGCGTGTCCAGGAGCACCGTGAATTCCAAGGCACCTCAGACTCTACGTCTTCACAATTGAATGCCGTTCCTCTCTGTCTTGAGCTAGCTCCTCCATCCCTCGCCATTCACTCAGCGTGCAGGTCGGAACCTTCAGCGTGGTCCCAGAGGGCACCCTCGCTCTTTCCTCACCCTGCATCCAACGCACACATCAACTCCGGCAGACTTCCTCCATAGATATTTGTGTGGTAATCACACTTACACATTCACTACCCAGACAGAGTCCTCTTCATCTCTGCCTATTTGTGCAGCAGCACAAATTACTGTTCTTCCTACTTTTGCTCTTTTCTCCTCTTAAATCCACCTCTCCCCAACCCCAACATGTACACTTGGGCTCCAGTGACAGTCCTAAAATGAAAATGCAGATTTACCTAGGATCCTCTTTCAAGATAACCTGCAGACTTTCTAGCGCGATTTGGCCTCCTTCTCCCTCAACGCACCCTGTGAGCCAGACATACTGAACGACTGTCCTGACCTCACATTGTTCTCACTTCTCCAGCCTCCATATGTTCTCTCTTCTTGCCTCCCTATCCTTCAAGACTCAGTTCTCTAGGGAACCACATTCTCTGGGAGTCTTCCCTGACCCTCTCCCCCTAAACAAGCGAGTTATCCCTTTTCTAGCCCCAAAGCCTCAACTGTACACACCAGTCTGCAATCCCTTCTCTGTGTGCCTATCTCCTTAGTCCGTTGGTGAGCTCCTCCCAGCAAGGTTTGGGTCTTCTCACCTGTGCGTCCCTAGTTCCTAACATAGGCCTGATAGATAGTATGTGCTTTGCTGGATGAAGGACTCCAACTTGGTTAGATGGCAATGTGTATGCAAGGAACAAGGAGAGAGCCACCTATAATTGGGAAAGGTAGAGAAGTTAGGTTACTGTCCACGGAGGACCCTGAATCTGAGTCCCCACACACTGGCTGCTCCAGAAATTCTTACTCTTCCTGGGTTCCTAAGAGGGAACTATCATTATCACCAACTGTCATTATCACCAACTCCTGGGCCATTAGAGGACCACAGAACACTTCTCCATCCTGTAATATGGGAAGAAATCCTGTTTCTTTTCAGCTAAGATTACCCTCTTCTACAATATTTCTTTTAAGAAACTAAAGGAAAACAGAAACACGGAGGCCTAGAAAATGGGGAAGAGGAAGGGTTACATGGCACAAACAGCCAGATGAGCAGCTAAGCTACTGTAGGCAAGGCCTGTGTCAGGCTCTCCTGGGAAGGTTGCCAGATGAAGAATATGGTTCATGCCCCCAAAGGGCCGATTTCAAAGAGCAGTGGAGAGTTGGCATCTACACAGCCAAGTGGAACGTGTACCGAAACAGTAAGAGCTGGCCAAGGCACAGACAGGGCCAACAGCTAAGATACCCTCTTCTACAATATTTCTTTTAAGAAACTAAAGGAAAACAGAAACACGGAGGTAGAAAATGGGGGGAAGAGGAAGGGTTACATGGCACAAACAGCCAGATGAGCAGCTAAGCTACTGTAGGCAAGGCCTGTGTCAGGCTCTCCTGGGAAGGTTGCCAGATGAAGAATATGGTTCATGCCCCCAAAGGGCCGATTTCAAAGAGCAGTGGAGAGTTGGCATCTACACAGCCAAGTGGAACGTGTACCGAAACAGTAAGAGCTGGCCAAGGCACAGACAGGGCCAAAATTCTACTGCTTCAGTCACTAAAGCCCACCCCCACAACCTCCCACCTCCAGCTTATTTGCTTAAAGCATCTCACTAAACACTATCTTGGTCCACATTGCAACCAGCTGTCCACCAGCCCCTCCATTCTCTCTAAAAATCTACCCCTTCCTCTCTTACTTCCCCTTCCTGTCTTCATCTCCCTGCTGGTTCAGATTCTGTGACCCTTCATTTCACCCACTCCTGAAAGAGTCCTCAACTCTTTAGCCCCCTGTCCCTTTGGTACCACTCTCCCAGCAAACCTCAGTCTGCAGACAAATCCACCCATCTGCCTTCACTGAACCTGCCAGGTCACAGTGAGCCATCGTTAGGGAAGTCTGCAGAGCCAGGCAGCCAGGCATCACCATGAATTTCTCACCAATCTCAAATGTGTCCACAACACAGCTCATCAGTTACACTGTTCCCCTGGTCAGCTTCTGCTCCCTCAGTGACCCTCAACTTCCTTCCGCTCCCTTCACACCCCAGCATCACCCCCAACACCACTCTCTGTAGGCAATATGGCCCCCCACGTCATGAGAAAATGAGAGTCACGTGAAAGGGAGCTTTCATCTTTCTCCCTTAAAATTCCTCCTCCTTATTCCTGTCTGCGCCATGGCCTTGGCAGCCCAACCGAGGAATTTGGACTTTGTCCTCGGGACACTGAGAAACATGGGAAGAGTTTAATCAGAGAAGTACTCTGACACGAATAGGATTTGGGGCTCACTGCTGGCTGCAGTATGGAGACAGGATTAGCCTTCCGAGAAAAAAGAATAAGAAATGGCCAAACAGCCCCTGAAGAAGTGATTTCTCAGCTGAAGCTGCGGGATAAGAAGCCGCTGGCCAAGCTAGAGAGGGTGGGAAGTGTCTCAGAAAGAAGGAATAGAAGAAGAGTTCAGAGACAAAAGAACGTGGCTCCTTCGAGGAACCATGAAGGGTTTGCGTGGCTGTTACCGGAGCATTCTCTGGGAAGAGGCAAGGGGATGCAGATAGAGAGGGACCCTCGATCAGTCCCAGGCTTCAGCAGCTCCTCAGCAGGTGGCACAGTTTCTCAAGGCCAAAAGGAAGCCAGTAAAGGGTTGTTAGCGGAGAAATGGCATGATCAGAATTGCAGTTTAGGACAATTATTCTGCCTGCAGCACAGAGAATTAATTGAAAGGGGCCAAAATGGAGGTAGGGAAATCAGTTCGTTGATTAATGCCATAGTCCAGATGCAAGATGATGAGGCTTAGACAATGGGATGGCTGTTGAAACAGAGCGAAACAGAACAGATGCGATGGATGTTCAGAAGCTGGGACCGATAGGTCTTTGTGACTGACTGGAGGAGCTTATTAAGATGTGAGAGACGTGATGGGTTAATGTTAATAGAAAGAGGTTTAAGATACAAGGAAGAGAAGAGGCTGGTCTTAAAGTCCCTGAGCGGGAGGCAAGGAAGGCCGATCCAAGGCACAAGGTGGAGGGGACTGGGCTTATAACACCGTTTTGTTGGGAGAGAAGGAAGAATGGACACAGGTTAAGTTTGTAAGTTTTGTAGCAGGAAATTAAGGGAAACCCTGACCAAGAACCATTCTCTCTGTGAGGCAGAGTTGGTCTGAAAGAGCTACTGTGGAGAATAGGAGAGGGATGTGACCAAGGAAACAGCAAGATTTCCAGAAGCTTTGAGAGCCCACAGAAGGCTGGAGGCCAGGCATTAATAGAGGCACCAGCCTGGGTGATGGTGGGGTTTTCTCAACAGCACACAGAGGCCAGCCACCAGGTCCTAGGTTGGAATTCACCTGGAGTGTGCAAAGGTGAGAAAATGGGGCAGGTAAGTTGAGGATACTGGCAACAGAGAAGTTCCCATAAGAGACCCTGAAGCCTAAACTGGTATTACATGAAGATAAAAGACAAGAAGGGCCTGATGGAGATGGAGTGGAGTGAAGTGGGGTTAAAGGGTCCTGTTGGGTAGCAGGCGACGTAGAGAGGAGAGCAAGACCTGCCGTATGTTCCTCCTGGGCTCCACAGTCAAACTCTAGGTTCTCAGCCTTGTCACCTTGATCCCTGGATACTGGAAGAATGTATCCCAGAAACTTCCAAATCGGTTCCAATCCAGGTAGAGCTTACATCGTATCAGGCGCATTCCACATGAGACCTTAAGCCTTCTGGGGACACTCAGGTCTCCCTAGAGGAACTTCCTCTGGGCTGCAGGGGACAGACACATGTCCCCTCATGCTCAGCTCTCTGCACAGGACTGGGGCTCCCTTCCTGACTATTCCTCAGGACCTGTGAGACTCCCCTGAGCATGACCATGGAAGGCAGCCCCAGGGACCAGAGGGCTCCCCACTCCAGGGATGGGACATACCACTTCTATCCTCACAGCCTGCTCTCCCAAATCTGGAGCTTGCATCCGGAGACTTCTCAGCCCCCATTCACTAGGGGGTAGGCGGATGCCTGCCCAGGCAGGGTGGATGCCATTATAACAACCAGGAGTTTCCTTCTCTGGATCTGTTTGTTACTTCGGAGTGAGATAATGGCATTATCACTGAGTGAAGAAGCAAGTTACAGTTAACTTGTGTTCGAACCTTAACTTCTCGGTCTATAAAACCGAGAAGTCCTAGGGATGACTGCCTAGGAGAGCTATTGTAAGAAGTACGAGGATATCAGTGCTATTGTTGTTGTTGTTGTTGTTGTTTGTTGTTGTCGTTGTTATATTCTACAGCATCTGAGATTCTAATTCAAGTCCTTTGCTGTCCTTACCAGATCTTCTGGGCTGAGTCCTAGGAAACAGGGACACTCAAATCCCCAGCTCCTCCTCCCTTAGGATTAAGACTGGTTGCCTGTTGTGGGGAGCCACTGCCCTGGGGGTGCCCATAGGCATATGACTAACACTTGCAGATGCTGCTTCTGTTTTCCTTTACTTATATAACTCATTTAATCTTCGAACCATGTGTGGCCAGTGCCATTTTGATCCCTATTTTATTGAGAAGAAATTGGAGCACTGAGGGTTACGTAATTTGCCCAAGGTCACACATCACAGATATGGAAGAGCTGGGATTTGAATCCAGGGATTCTGTGCTCTCAGCTCACCTTTCTACTCTGCCGAAGCTTCTTAAACTTCATGTCAGTGGCTTGTGTGACCCCTGTTTTTGGCCTTGCTTTGGGGACAGCAGGACAACACAGCCAGGAGCTGAGTTGTGCTTGTAGTCAGGTCTGGGTTGGGGCTTCCAGGACAAAGTAGGTAGTGGCAGCTGCTGGGGGATACAGGACAGGGTACAAGGCCAAGGGCAGAAGCAGGCTGGGACCAGGGCCTGAGGCCAGAGGAGAGCAGACCAGAGCCAGGTTTGGCTGAGTCCCAGGACTCCCATCAGTTCCAGCACCCCTGGAACCTGTAGTGCCGGGGGCCAGGCATGTGGAGCACGATGGGAATGATTCTTCAGAGGAATCCAGCAAGGCCTCTCAGGACAGGGTCCAAGGTTCTCATGACCCCAGGGTCCTGCTCAGCCAGGCTTGATGCCCATAGCAGGTTCTGAGAGAAGGTTTTCCTTGCCTACCTTTGTGGGTTGCTAGAGTCGGAAAAAGCAACTGCTAATCTGGGATCAGGCCCTTAGCTTCTCCTGGACCCCTCAGTTGTTCTGACTCAGGTCCCAAGGAATATATGAAAACGAGAAGGGCTGAGCTGCTTTCTGGCCCAGAACTGCAGCCAGGAAAACTCCTTCAGGTGGGCCTTGAGGGAGCAGAAGGGGCAGACCCACTGCATTTACAACAGCTCTTCTCTCGGAGGCCAGGAGGCCTTCTTCTGCTGCTCGGGGTCCTTCTCCAGGCCTCAGCGTGGGGCAGCTTCTGCTGCAGTGCCAGACACAGGGACTTCTCAGGGCTGCGAGAGTTCAACCATCTCTGGACTCAGGAACCTGTAGCTGGAGTTGGGGCTGCATGTGCTGGGCTCCCCTCCTCCCTGGCTGTTTCTCCTGTGCCATGTCCTCTGCTGACAAGCCCTTAGATGTCAGTGTTTCCCCACACAGTTTTCAGCGCTTGACTCTACCCACTTTCCATGATCTAAATCATTCCTAGGGTCTCAGTGACCCTATGGCCAACTATTCCCAAACACATGTCTGCAGACTGGACTTCTCCCCTGTGAATCCATCTGCTCCTTGGCATTGCCCTAGAAATCCCACATCTGACATTGAATCCATATTCCGTGGAAACCTGCTCCTCCTCAATGTACCCAGCCATAGAGCCAGAAACCAGGGCAGCTTCATTAATTCCTTACTACTCCCCACATCCAGCAGTCAACAAGTCCTGTCAACCCCGCCTCCTTCAAATTTCCAGAATGTGTTGCCCATGCCACACCTTAGTCACCTCTCTGTCTCTGCCCTCCGACCCATCTCTGCGCAGCATTCAGAATGACTTTTCTATCATGATTTTGTCACTCCCTTGCCAAACTAGTTCACAGGTGAGCCTAGGTTGCTCCCAAGTTGAAGTGCCAGCTCTCTATCTTAGCACCAAGGCTCTAGCTGATCTGATTCAAACTTCAGCTTTATCACCGCCACTTGCACCACTCAAACCCTATGCTCCAGCCCACTTTGACCTCCTGTTTTTTCTCAAGCACCTCCCTACATTAGTCATCCCTCACTTTCCTTCTCCACTGGCTCTTTCCTCAAAGGTTAACACTGCATCCAGGTAGACACATGTGGGGTGGCCACCTGGTTCATAATGACTTCCCCTGGGAATGACCTGGAACAAACGGGTGGGCTCCCCAAATCACATATGCGCTACAGGAACCTGCCCGCACCAGTCACAGCTGGCTGGACCTGGGGTGGATACTCGACGCAAACTGAGCCAACCAGATTTTCTCACCTGAGTACTCAAAACTCAATTGAGAGTTTAGGGGTCCCAGGCCTGGAGTCTCATTCATGCCCATAAATGACAGCATGCTAGAGGTATTATGCCCAAACTTAGGCTGCAGCGACTACCTGCTTCCTGCCCTTCCAAGTCAGCTATCCCTTTAACTCTATGCAAAGCTAGGATTCTTCCCCTCCCCTAACTTCTTTCCATAGTTTGCAAAAGAAGCTAAGAACCAAAAGAAGCTTAACTGTCTCCCTTACCCCACTATCCACACCAGCAGCTATGACCCTATCCTTCTCTTTGTCAAGTTCTTGATCAAGTCCACTACCTTACTTTTCATCTACTCACTCCTGAGCCCACAGTAATTCAACAAATTTGACAAGTGTTTATTTAGCCTCTGCCTTGTGCAAGACTCTGAAGACACAAATAAGACACAGTTTGTGGCCTCAGGGAGCTCCCAATCTAGCACAGTAGTAAGTGCAAGTTGCAATAAAGATTAAGGTAAAATTTGGCAAGGGTGACGATGGAGAAGCTCACAGGGTGGTGTGAGAGGGAGGGGCTCACAGGAGGCATCCTGGAGGAGGGGGATGTTCGAGCAGTGTCTCCCAGCTATGAGTGACAAGGAACATTTTTACGCATGAGTTCTATTTCAGGAAAATAAAAATGAGTGACTTTTCATTTTTATTTGAAATGAAAATAGATTTATTAATACCTGTGAAAAAGGTAATATATTATAACCATTCGGATTACCCACTTTATTGATAGGAAAAAATTCAATAGGAAACTTGGCACACTGATTTTCACCTGCTAAAATGTTATCTGGCACATAAGAATAATAATTAGGTAGATAGGGAGTATAATAGAAAAAGGCAAGAAAGGAAACCAAGAGGCTAACAGAGGCCTTATTTCCACAGTTAGGCCCTTGGTGGGCTTTATCCTGAGAATAGCAGGGAGTCACTGAGGGTTGATGAGTAAGAGATGGTCATTGTCACTTTGATGGCTAGCGTCAGGGAAAGGAAGATTGCTCTATCCCTGATCACCCCTTAAACCTTAACCACCTCTGTCCCTGAGGCTAGTAGCTCCCATGCAATATCTGCTGTCTTTAAGCTGTCAGGCATGAGGGGGCCAGGGGTGTCCAAAGATCAGGTTTCAGAGGGAGAAGTGGTTCCTGTTGTCCTCTGTCCCCAGCCCACTGGCCCCAGGCTGAATGTAATTGTCCTCGATGAAGCCATCATCATCGTCATCTTCACCCACTTCTGGGCATACCCTCTTCCTGGTCTCGGGCAGTGGGCGGTGCTGGTAGCTGGCACGGTATTTGCGGCAGAGGTGGCATTTGGCAGCAAGTGCAACGAGGAGAGAGAGGACCACAGCCCCTAGCACAACCCCCACCAGCACAGGCCATGCCCGGGCCCCAGTGCCTGGTTCAGGGGACATGGCTGATGCTGTGGGGAGCTCTGAGGGCCCCACAATGGCTGTGGAGAAAAGGACAGCATTATGGAAGGGACCCCAGATGGGCTCCTTGAGGAAACTGAGAGGAATGCAGACAAGGTCCTTCCCCCAACCCCAGCATCTAAGGGGAATCCACCGCCCTCCTCAGCTCCCCTTCCACTGCCACTCACTTTGGTTTGTCTCACTCATGGAGGGGCCAGAAGACACCGGTGAGCCTCTGCCTTGGCCACAAGAGTCCTGGCTCCGAGAAGATCCCCACGCACCAAGCAGACCTGGGGCACAGAGTCCTGGAACATACACACACAGGGATGGCCAACAGGCCACGCATTTCAGGCCACACAGCCATGTTAGGGTGCTGCACAAATTCTGGAGACTGGACAACTGACCATAACCAGTTGTTCACCAGAGAAACAAGCTGAGCCACAGAAATGGGCTATTTGTAAGGGAACATTGTAAGGTCCAGCTCTGGAAGTGGCTGAATAAATAACTCAATGCTAGAACTTTCACTGAGCACGTCTTATGATTCAGGCACCAGGCAACATGCTCACAGAAATCTGTAATGTGGGCATAAACATATCTCTTCTCTATAGATGGGGACTCTGAGGCCCGGAAGGGTAGCTAATTTGGCAAAGTCCCAGGACTTGAACCCAGTTCTCTTATACCAGGGTCCAGAGCCCATCTGATACACTGCTTGGTGAGCTGAGTTTGAGACGAAGGGGCACAGGTAGGCCAGGTTCCCAGAGATGGACAACAGCAATTGCTTGCAGCTAATGGGCCAAGTGGAGACCACATGTAGAAGATGGTGCCAGTCCCCACCCAGGGCAGGGGTCTCAGACACAGCCAAAACAGCCCTGGCCCCTCTGCTCCTAAGTTAGAAGCCTCTGCTACCCCGCCTGTAACCACAGCCCTCAGGCACACTCCCTCAGAGGCAGACCGTATTCAAGGAGTAGCTAAATGCAGATCACCTGAATCGGGAAATTATCAGGGTAAGAATGACTAAGGCTGGGGAGGATCTAGAAGAGGAGCACCTGAATTAAGGGAGTATCTGGAAGAAAATCATCTAGGCTTGCAAATACCTGGAGAAGCAGCACCTGAATCAGAGGAATCTCTGAGGAAGCAACATCTGAATTAGGGAAGTATCTATAGGAAGAGCACCTAGGTTAGGAAGTACCTGTTGGAGGACCAGCTAGGGCTAGAGATTATCTGCAGATGTGGAGTACCTGAATCAGAAGAGTACTTGGCGAGGAATATCCAGGATAGGAAAGCACGTAGGAGAGAAGCACCTAGTTCAGGGGAGTGCTCCACCATCGTCTTTAATTCCGGTACCTTAACAAGACCCTCTTTCCTCACTGCCAACTAGTCACCAAGCCCTGTAAATATCTCTGGAACAACTATGCCCCTGCTCAGCATCCCTACTGCCACCGCCCTTGTCCAAGCCACCTTCATTTTATACCTCGATTTTTGCAATAACCTCCCAACTGCTAGTCCATTCCCCCAGAATAATGGACCTAAAGCCAAATCTGACCCATCTGCTTAAAATTCCTTCAAAAGCTCCTCAGGGCCAGGGCTACATACAAATTCCTCCACCTCACAATCCAGCACATGGCCCTCAGGCCAAACTCTCCTTTCTCTGCTCCACAGTTCCCTCCACCATGTCCTCCCCAACACACATACACACCTCCCACAGCACCCACCCTCCACTTTCCCAGCCATCCCATCCCTGCTCAGTTTTTTGTCTGCCATCCCTCAAGGCCAAATCAGATCATGCCTGCCTGACTGTGAGGTTGTCCCAGGACCCCTTTACTGACCTAACCTATCAACTACCAGTCAGAACTGGCCAGTTACTAGATGGGCAGCTAGCTCCCTGGGGGCAAGGACTGGGCTGATTAACCTGTATCCTGGGACTTCCACAAAGCTTGGTACTCAACTGCTCAGTATGTGTTTGTGAGAAGAGTGAGGGAGAGAGCTGAGAGTGAATATGGGGCGTGGGGCATTAGAAAGGAGAGGTAAATCATTCACTTCTTCATTAGCAAACATTCATTAGGTGCCTACTATGCCTACACTATGCACTGAGTCTCCAAAAAAAAAAGGCTTTGTTACATTGAAATTGATATAATTCGATGAGATGTTTCTAAGAATTATTCCTATTCCTTTCCTTCCTACCCTGTCCCTGTGAATTCTTCTCAAGGACACATACCCACACCCACAGGCTGTCATCCTTCTCCCTCAGGTCACACCCTCTGATCTTCACAGACATACACCCTGATTTGTAGCTCCTTTCCCGCTCCCAGGAGCCCTCAGGGATCTGTGGGTTCTCCTTCCCAGCCCCCCAATTTTTCCCCTCTGCTCCCCACCTGTAGACCTGTATACAGTCCGCGGAGAAAGCTTCCGGCTGGGGCGGGCAGACAGGTGGGCGGGCCAGAGCTGCCGCTTGTCTTACCTGGGGACGCAGCAGGCGGGGCTGGAGGCGCAGGTTAGGGAGGAGGGCTGGGCAGCAGGCAACGCCCCCAACAGGAAGGACTCGCTCTACATCTAACCAAGCTTTTGCCGAGAACCTTACTGGCACAGGCCTCACCCCCACCCCCAGTACTGGGGGAGGGGCGTGGGTTGGTGCAGCTGGGATCCAGAGAGGGGTCCAGCAGGCCCTAGAAAGGCGGATGCATTAGCAGGCAGCTGCTCAGGCTGACAGCCCTAATAAGCAGTGAGTTTCCGGTAACAGGTACAAAGTCCAGAGTTGAAGAGGGAGCTTTGCAGGCCTGTGAAGGCGGTGGGCCGGAACTGGAGGTGGGGCAGGTGGGGGAGGTGAGGGAGGTGGGGGAGGTGGGGGAGGTGAGCATTCTTCCCAGGCAAAGCCAGAGAGATCAAGAACAGTTATCATTGCCTGCAAACGTGTGTGTAAGCCTGTGGGGGGAGGGGATGTGGAGGTCAATGGGGAGTATTCAGAGACCTTTTGGGGGGTGTATATGTGCCCTTGGGGTGTTATCATGTGTTTGTACTTACCTGGATAGAGGGTTCAGGCCTTCATGTGGATGTCAAGGATCCTAGGACCCCACAAAGGTAGGATCTGAATCCCTCTTTTGCCCTACTCCTTGTCCCCAGGCCTAGTGCCTCCTTGTCCTTGAAGACCCAGTTCCAGAGTCACCTTCCCTGAGTCCTCAGTCTACTCTGGCAAGCCCCGCCTCCTCCATGCCTGTGCACCCTCTATCACAGCATTTCTCTATCTTGTAATGATTTCTTCCTGTGCTGCCTCCCACATTAGCCTGCGAGCTCTCCCAGGGTGGAGTCTCTGCGTTCCCAGCATCTGGCACAGGGCAGGCTCTCAGTAAATATCTAAAGGAGGAAGGACTGCAAGAGCTAAACCAAGCAAGCACAAATATTGACAGGGACCCTGAGGGCACAGGGGCTGTAGCCAGGGTTTGCAAGGGGGCCTGCCAGAACTGCAGCTGCAAAGTGAAGGCCAGTTCATGCAGAACCTTGAATCTTTAGCACGGATTCCGAACTTTTACTATCAATGACCCCTTCCTACTCCTCCCAACGCGTCTAGCACCTACACTTCAAATTCTTTGCTTCAGTCACACCAAATTGTTCTCTGTTCCTGGAACCCACCATGCTCTCACCTCCTAGGCTCTACATGCACTGTTCCTGGGACTCTGAATTCCTCTAACCGTTCCCTCCAGCTCCTCCCCCGACTTGTCCATCTCCTACCTGGCTGCTTTTCCTCTCAGGCCTACTCATCACTCAGGCCCCAGTTTAGGTGCCTCTTTACCCAGACAGCCTTCCCTGACTCTAGTATGTGTCTCTCCTCCCCTCTTCTGTGCCCCCGCAGGCCCCAGCTCCTCTCCCCCATATTCCTGACCATAATATTGTGATTTTTCTCTCTATTTGGCAGGGTCCCGTACAAACCTGAGAACTCGGGGTAGGGTCTGCACCTGTCTTGTTCCCTTTCAAATCCCCAATATCTAAAATAGCGACAATAAATACTTCTGAAATAAATGAATGAGAGGAAAGTGAATACTATCCGGGACAGAGGAGTGAGAAGTCAAGGGAGGTTGAGAGTTTCCTTTGATTTTGAAGCAAGGAAATTATAGCATCCAAAAGGTATTCATTGAACACCTACCATGTCCCGAGCACTGCGATTTTCTTTTTTAATTATTCATATAACGTAACCGTATTTACATAACAAGAAATTTACCATTTTAGCAATTGTCAGTGCACAATTCAGGGGCATATAGTACATTCAGAACGATGTACAACCATCACTGTATCTCGTTCTAAAATGTTTTCATCACACTGAAAGGATACCCCCTGCCCACTGAGCCGTCACTCCTCATTCCCTGCCCCCCAGGCTCCAGCAACCACAAATCTGCTTTCTCTCTCCTCGGATTTGCCTGTTCTTGATATTTCATACACATGAAATCATATTTGTGCCAGCTTTTTAATGAACTATTTCATTTACTCCTTATAACTACACTATTAGTTAGATATTAATTAGCCCCTTAACAGGTGAAGACAATGAGGCCATAAGAAGGGAATTTGCCTAGTCCCACAGAAGAAATCAAGTAAAGTTCTGTACATCCATCCGTCAGTCATTTATTCAATGAATATTTATTGAACACCCACCACAGAGCCACAGCCAGCCCATTGGCATGCATGGCAGAATAGCAGAAGGCAACCTGTTGGGTGCCCCCACAGCATGGAGAGCAGAGAGCAGGCTGGGTATTGGCACCCACTGGTCTCTCAGCCAGGAGCTCGAGCTCTGGTGCAGTGGACAACCCTTACGACCTTCTACGGCAACCCTGGCAACTATGTGGTAGGCACTGTGCTAGCTGCTAGGGACAGAGTTCCTGCCACCATACAGCTTTCATTCTGGTGGGGAAGACAGCCAATACACGAAGAAATAAATAAAATTATTTCCGATAATGGTGAGTGCTACGAAGAAAATAAAATAGCTTCATGTGGTAGGGAGTTGTGGAGGGGGCTACTACATTATATTAAATAGTCAGAAAAAGAGGGTGTTCACTAAAGAGGGAATGTTGAGCCAAATGTTTGAGTGAGACAGCAACCATGCCATATCTAGGGAAAGGGCAGAGACCGAGAGGCAGGAGCATGGCTGGCTTGTTCAAGCAACAGCAGAAGGCCAGATGGGTGGGATACAGTAAGTGGAGAGAGGTGGGAGGAACTGCATCAGGAGCCTGTCAGAGGCCGGCCTCATCAGGTCCTTCCCTCAGTGAGGTGGGAAGCCATTGATCTAAGTAGAGGACTGAAGGACTGTCCTTTAGCTTCTGTGTGAAAAATGGGTTAGAGGAGGCCTGGGTAGAAGCGAGGAGGCCAGTTAGGAAGCTGGTTAGGAAGCTATTGCTATCACCCAGGAGAGAGGGTGAAGGAACTAAAGTTTTGCTTCTCCGAAGCTGCCTTTTTGAGATATTGATGTTAATCTGCTTATTAAGAAACAAAACTCAGAAAGGACCTTTCACTCTTCCCCCTTTCCTGCCCAAGAAATTCAGACAGAAAAACCTGATTAAGGAAGGAAATCCATAGCCTAATTTGAATTAAGTATGGGAAATAGGAGGGCTTCAGTCAGGGACCTGTTAACTAGATATCCCGTGTCCCATTGTTTCTGAGTTGCCCAGCAAGAATTTGCCTGCGAGTGTGTGCGAGTGTGTGCAAGTGTGTGCGAGTGTGTTCTGCTCTTCCTCAACTACCTGTAAATCGCCCATTCTCACTTCTGAAATCTAAGACTCTGCCCCCTTCTCCTTTGTCTAAAATGTCATATATCCCCAATGTTGCCTCACTGTCTTTGGAATTTTCATGCTTATGTAAATTCCCCATGCACATGTATTAAAATTTGACTTTTCTCCTGTTAATCTGTCTCTGTTAATTTAATTATTAGCCCAGCTGGAAGAACTAAGACGGTGGGAGGAAAAGCACTAATTTTTTTTTTTTTTTTTTTTTGCCCCCACAAGGGAATGTGGCATTAGGGTAGTCAGGTAGAAATGGGGAGAAGTACTCAGATTCTAGATGTATTATGAAGGTGGAGGCTGCACAATTTGCTGACTAGGTGCGGGGGGGGGGGGCGGGACGGGGGAAGGGATCTAGAATAACTCCAAAGTTTCGACCCGAGCAACTAGTAGGATAGAGTTGTCATTTATTCAAGTGGGAAGACTCTGAAGGGACACATTTGAGAGGGCAATCAGGACCTTGGTTTTGGACATGCTAGATGTGCGATAGATGCCCATGAGACATCCAGGTAGCATCCTAAGTAGGCAGTAGCATAATTTAGCCAGAATGCAGGGGAAGGTGAAGGCTAGAAATATGTTTGGGAATAGGAAAATGTGGATGATTTTTAAATCTAGTCATCTAGGTGTAGAGAGAGAAAAAGGCTGAGGGCTGAGCTCTGGAGCACAGTGGGAGTCGGGGGAGTAGAAGGAGAAGCAGGAATAAGGTCGAGGCATGACCAGCAGCATGGTGGGAATAAGACATGTGAGACAGGTGTCGTGAAGGCCAGAAAAAGTGTTTCAAGGGCAAGGCCTTGGTCAGCTACGTCAAATGCTGATGATATGTGCAACTAAGATATATACTGAGAATTGACTTTGAAGTTGGCCATGTGGAGGTCACTGGTAACCTTGACAAGAGCAGTTTCACCAGTATGTTGAGGACAAATGCCAGACTGGAGCAATGCATAAGTATGGGAGCAGAGGAAGTGGAGACCACTTCTTTAAGGAATTTTGCTATAAAAGGAGTAGAGAAGTGGTGCAGACACTGGAGGCTAGGGTACAATCAAAGGAGGATTTTTTTTAAGGCCAGGAGCTGTTAGACCATGTGTGTGTGCTGGCCAGAATAATCCAGGAGAGAGAGAAAATTGACAATGCAGAAGGCAAAGAGAAGGGACAGTGGGGGCGTGAAGTCCTGAAGGTGTAAAGAGGCATGGGGTCCAGTGCACAGGTTGACCTTGAGCAGGAGCAGGGAGAGTCCCTCTGAGGAAGGTGGAGTATAAAGGTGAAATGATGGGAGCCTTAGGGAGTTTTCTTCTCATGGCTTCTGTTTTACCAGAGAAATAGAGAGCAATGTTATTGGCTGAGAGTGAAGAGCAGAGAGGTACTGGAGTTCAAGGAGAGAAGAGAAGGTATGAATCGGTCATCCAAACCTGCCAGCAAGTGAGAGGCTCACCAGGCAGTAGCAAGACCCCTGCTGAGGTGAGCAACATGAATCTGAAGTCAGTTGGAGTAGCTGAGTATTTTTGTTTTATAGCCATTCCAAGTGCAGATGGGGAGAAGATGAAGAGAGCGATTTAACCAGGATGGAGATTTGAGGGGCAAATCAGATAAAGCCAGGGAGGGACAAGGGAGCCAGACTTGTAGGCACAGAAGCAATGCCATGATGACTCACGCAATCTGGGCCCAGTAAAGAAGGCAGTGAGGACAGGGTAGGGAGGTGTGAGGAGCCCTGACAAAGAGGTAGGATCAGTGGATTTCAGGAGCAATTGCTGGGGTACTAGAGAGAGTAAGTTGAAAAAATAGAAAGTGGTAAGCAGATGGTGACATATGGAAATGGAGGTTACCAGGGAATGCAATTCTTGGTAAAGACAAGCTCTAAGATATGAACCAGAAAGTGGTCTTGAGGTAGGGCCTGCAGACTAATGAGGGTTTTACTATTATCTAAAGCATGTGATCAACTTAACCTTTTGCATCAGAGGTCTAATGATAACATGCTAATAGCCCTACTAATAAATGGCAGAGCCAGGATTCAAACCCAGCTCTTCTGACTCTAGGTCCAGCACCTTTCTATTTTATCCCAACTATATCCCTCTACTCTGTCAAACTAACAAATTTTCACTTCCATGACTGAAAGTATTTTTGTAAGTAAGGTTTCACTGAGCCAAAAATGCTAACCAGAAAAACCAGTCTTGGGGCATGGAGTCTAAACTATCAGCAGCATGGCTACGTAGAAGGGAGAAGAAAATGGTCAGAAAGAATTTACCTGAGCTATAGGCAAAGAGGTGTGGGAAGGTGATGGGGGGCAGCTCTGGAATAGCTGAGTCCACATAAAGAAATATCTGCCCCCGGGCAGCAGTCAGGGAAGCCCTCCTGTAAAGGAGTGGGGGAAATGGGGTGGGTTCCTGGAGTTAGATGGTGCCTGACTAAAATAATCTACAGAAATAGCCACTTGAAAATTTGAAATTACAACAGGCAAAACAGGAAAGTGAGAAGTCTTTTGTTAGCTGGTCAGCAGCCATTAACAGACTACCAGTT